ATTTATTGGGCAGAGAAGCGGCGAGCCATTGGAATGGCGCCATCTTTCACGAAATATCGAAAGACATAATATCGAAGATAAAATACACTGCACTGTTTCAAAACTTGATGAAATCTTCTTTGAAATCTTCTTCAGCTATTTATGATTATGTAAAAGTACGACAACTGGATGATATTTGCCAGATTCGGTAATAAAAAGCAAACAAGATGGCAAAATATGGCTGAAATTGTGTTTTCGGGGTAAGTGAAATAAAATGTATTATATTTAATGAAAATAATGACAATCCTTATGAAATCCACAATAATTCTATTAAATTGAGCAGTTTTTCACCCCATGATATTTTTTTTAGGAAATAAGAAAATTTAATTTCTGCCAGGCATATTAGTTATTTTATGCATAATTAGCAATTTACCTGGGGTGGTGCATGGTCATTTTCTTGTCCCCGAACCGGCGGCGCGAAGCACCGTGTGAGGGTACTAATTCCCCCCGGCTATTTACACCCGGGGAAACGAAAGCATTAGCGAAGTCTAAAGTTCATCAATGAGCGCGGGCGTCGCTCACCAACGATGGGTGGTCATCCTCACTGATCTCAAAAATATGGCGGACTGTCATGAATAACGGACACTGATTGGTCCAATTTAAAGTTTGCATTATAACGACTGCATGACGACAGCGAAATAGCAAACATTTCTTGATTTGATGAGTTGATGATTGATAAATTTCTTGCAAATATTCTTCATTTTTGCTCGTATTTCTGCAAGATTTTGTAAATTTCAAGAAAGAAAGGGCGAAAGAATCAGCTAAAAGAAGGGAGCCGACGTTAACGAAGGTAAGTTTGTTTTAAATATTGATTTTATAATGGCTTTAAAACCCGACGGCCTTTGCATATATGAAACAACTAAACAAGACTGCATATAATTTCAGTGTATCTTTAATATTGATTCCCTTTTTTATTATATTGAATTTTTTAAATAAAAAATAAAGCAAAGATTATTTGCAAGCGAGAATTTGAAATCATTTTATTGCAAACTCAAAGTTTATCGATAAAGCCATTTAATAGTTAAAGGGAGTTTAGTTTTATAAAGAACACTTTAAAACATTTTGTGAATTGTTTGTGGTTGAATTTTACCTTAAATTGAAGCTTGTGTTACGTATAATTACATACCTAACATATATGTTATGCAATTTTCATTTGTAAGAATATTCTTAAAAAATTATTGTGTTACCATGACAACTACTTTAGATACTTCATGTTTGGAAAATACAACGGTTTTGTCAGCAAGGTGAGGGTTTCTGCATGCATGTATTTTCTAGTAAAATATTATACTTAGACAAATTTTTCCTTCCAATTGAAAAATCAGCTAAAAATGGCGGATATGCTGAACACGTGCGACTAAGTGCAGCAAAGTAAAAATGAATTTTTAGTGTGTTTTTTAAAGGGAGAGATCGACAAAATTTTATTGTAAAACAAACTTTAATATCTAGTGTTATTATTAAGACCAATTTTATCAAGAAATAAAAGCGCAACAGGTTAAAATCGAGCATACGAAAATCACGGAAGCGAAGACAACAACAACAACAAAGGACGATTCACACGTTGAAAATACCACAAATAAAGGCAGGCCTTAAAATATCTTTTCCAGGGCCGTCTGACAAAATGTCCGGTAACATTGAGTTTGGGTCGGACAAATGTCCGATGACCTTCAGTTCATTTTTGACTCGGAAATAAGTCTGAATGACACAAATGAATAAACGGTAAATGTTGTAAAGATATTAAATAATTTGTTTCTTTCATACATACATACTTGCCAGAACAGCAGTATCAAAACGACTTCGACAACTTAAGCCCGTTTTCCACTTCACCATTTCGCTTGCCGCCCCGCGCTCGACTACGTTAAAACAACATTTCCAGTTGACCTTTTATATAATAGTACTCTAATTTTCCATTTAACATACAAGCCTGCCTCTAGTCCTGGCCTCCTGGGCTAGGGTACATTTTGATTTACGTCGGACAAAGCTACAGTTCGGTCGGACACCAATACACTTGGGTCGGACAGACAATAAACTGCAGTTTCACTTAGGTCGGACAGAATGTCCGGTGGTTTCTTTTCTACGTCGGACAATTTCACGAATGGGTCGGACAATGAAGGCTGAAGCTTAATGAGGTTTATCATCTCATTGTCTTAGTAATGCGTGCATACATTATACATGTCCTAATTATGCATTCAGTAGACAAAATTTTGTTCGTTTCTATATAGGTTAGATTCCCACCGTGGTCAGGCATATTTTTCAAGCTTGCCAGGTGTGGATATACACTCAGAGTAACATCACAAGCATCATATTCACCTGAGTACACATTACACCAACACAGAAAAATCATGATTATTAGATTACATTGATATCGAAGGAACTAGATTCTGTTCCGAAATATCACATACTCGAACCAAGCAGACCGCGTAGCTCAGTTGGCAGAGCATTGGGCTAGCATCCAAAGGTCGTAGGTTCGATTCCCACCGTGGTCAGGTATTTTTTCAAGCTTGCCCGGTGTGGATATACACCCAGAGTAACATCACAAGCATCAAAACAACATTTACTCATCAGTCGCTTCACTGAACTCAATGTCAAATAGTGTTTGACATATTTTAATCATGGCCATTCGTTTCTTTTTGAGTGGCATTGCACGAATGGTGGGAATGAGACATTTACAGTGTGAGACTTCATCTGTTACTTCATCAGACCAGTTGCTTCAAAATGGCTAAATCAATGGCATCCTGTCGAGATGATTTTGTGGCATGTCTGCTACTTAGTGGAGGTATTACTGGTTGATCATTAGACTTTCTTTTCATTGCAGGACTAGTTGTATTTGTAGTAGCAGTATTAGCTAAGTTGCCTTCATTCACAACAGATACGTCCATCACAGTAGGAGTGATATTAGATTCTGTGGGTTTATTTGCAGTCTTTTCATGAAGAAACCACCTCATTTGTTCAAAAAATTTGCATTGTGGCAAAATTGATGCAGGGGCTCCTGATCTTGTCATCTGCTGTCTTTTATCCTACATGTCTTTTAAGTTTTTCAGGTTTCTTTGCAGGAAGTCAACTGAAATGTATTATATAAGAAAAATATTAGCATATAAATTATTTGAGCATATATTAACTGGGATGACATTTTCTTGACAATAACTGCCATAGGTCAGAGCAATAATTTTATGCTACAATCTTACCAAAATAAACGAGACACTACATGCTCCCGCAACCCTTCTCAATGTTGGTTAGTGATTGTTAGCACCGTTTCAGGCCTTTCTTTTCAATTTCGACTTCAAATCGCAACATTGGATGGGGGAAAGGGGGATAAGCCTTACAAAATCATGATGGCACGTTTTATTTTGCAAGAGATTGTATTTCAACAATAAATCCACACATATTATACTATGTCAAGTACTGTAGGTGTGGAAAGTTATGACGCTGGACAAAGGACAGCGTTTAAGAATTAGAACTATCAAACTGTCAAGTACCTTCATGTTGTATATAATCAGTATATCGACAATGTATATCTAAACAATAAAACTCGTACAATATAATATGAATTATACGGATTGGTAATTAAAAAATAATATTCGTCTATATTGATATGGCTGGGCATATTTGGTAAACAAACCAAAGCGGTATAAACATGCCGATTAACTACCAAAATTATATATTTATATATATATATACACATTATATATATAATATTAACATGCAATGCACTGTGTATACCATCTCTCTGACGGTGACTGTGTCAAGTATAAAGTATAATTGTTCAGACAGCCCATGAACCCACCCCGAAATGTACGATTCTGAATAATTAACGCATCATCGGAACGGGTCACTGTCTAAAACAAGTGCCAAAAGATCTCAGGTTTGTACCATGGTACCATGGTAAAGTTAACATTTCCATTCTTTTTAAGAAACTAACATAAGACGAGCTGATTGTGTAACGGTGACTCGTTCAAACCAAAAGAAAATATTACGTAATATGTATTCTCTCATATATCTTCGGATCACAGTGGTGATCCGCCGTTTATTCTGCGTTTACAACACTTCAAATCGTTTCCAAATTCCAGCATTTGTTGAATAACTTATAATGTTTAAGTGAATTAGTCAACAAACCTTGTTGAAAGAGAAACAAAATATGTAATTTTGAGATTTTTAAATGGTGACCCCGTCACATGCACATATGAACACTGATTAATATGCTATTGCATGCAACTTGATTAGTATGCTAATTGCATGCATTTTTGCTAAAACGCATGTCCGATAAACATAGGCAGTTCAAATATTCAATGAAGAATAAACTCTGCAAAGCAACACGGACATGACAGGATATTCACTTGTTATCTTGCGGGATTTGCAAGAAAAAATGAAAACAACGCCATCTGACACCCATCATCTCCATTTCAATGCAGTTTTGGCTGCACCCCCTTGCACAAAACTGAAGTGGTCGTTGGCTGTGGCAAGGATAGGGGCATCTTTTTCAAAGACAAATTTTTGCTGTGCAACATTTAGGTCTATTCATAATGATTATGAATTTTTGTGTTGTCAATTTCATTACTTCAATAATTAACTGCATGCATATTCACACACTAATATACATATAGTTATTGACAAGTTCTTTTGTTACATATATTATAACGTTTTTCCAGAAATAAACATAAAATACATGGGTGTTATTGTTCAAACACATGTGCTAATATTTTTGAATGATTCTCAGTAAATTTTATTTCCCTTAGTTATAATCTGCACTCGCATCTTACACAATCAGAGCTGCGCCAAGTGCGCATTCCAAACGTTCCTATTTTAGAAATCTTATGCAAAATAAACGAGACACTCCACAACATTTAATAACTCGTATGATCAGAGGTAAAACAGTTTACATTTCAGCCAATAGGCGAACAGATTTTACATGTGCATTTTATGTAGTATTGATGAAACAAGACAACAAAGCGAGGAATAGATTTTTATTGAGAGACTATTATTAAAAGCGAATATTATTGAGACAGGGTTAAAGTGAAGGGATTGTGAGCGTAGGAGAAATTTGTACAGAGTTCATATACGTAGTAACATTGATATTATAATATAATATTAAACATCACATATATTATAACTGTCTGCGCCCGAGGCAAGGGAAATAGTTTTGTTTTCCTGAGTACCTCAATTTTCCCGAGATGAAGTAGTCGAGGGAAACATTGAATTTCAAAGGGGAAACAAAACTATTTCCCGAGGGAACAGACATTGGGTGTTTTGTTTATATAGTGACAAAATCAACATCATTCATATAACAATTGTGAATTGTATTTTCATAACAAAAACTCGAATATATATAGTGTAAACGAATTTAAAATTAAAACAACCTACTTTATTATTTATTAAACGGTTTCAGCAGCATATCCTGTTGTCTGTTGTGTATTTTTCTTCTCTATTACATTCTTTATTTTAAACACAAAGTTGGAAAGTTGTAGTTTTATATTAGAACGTTGAGTTGATGGGCGATTTTAAAAGCTTCAAAAATGACAAAAATTTAAAAGGAGAAAAAGTCAAATGCTTTTGTATTAAAATCTTTTATATTATTAAATTTGAGACGTTTATTAAAAATTTTTAAATAGTCGGATTCGGAACTTAGACAAACCATCGGATTCAAAGATGTCAATCCGATCCAACGCACACACCTTTACTGTGTCTACTGCGTATATATACAACATATAATGCCTCGATATATTATGACCACCACCATATACACTGTGTATAGCTTGCCAGGGGTGGAAAAAATATTTTGCTTTCTGGGACGGCAAGAGAACATTGAAAAATTTCTGCAAATAATCAAGTAACTTGACACTCGGACTGTAACTGTGTGATGTAGTCAAACTGAATTTAGAATTTTAGAAGTCTGGAATGGCTATTTTCTGTGAATTAAATCCAAAATCCTGTGATTTAAATCCAGATATATCCAAAGGGAACAACAAAATTTGTGTGGTTAGGGAAGCCTCGCATGTCAATTTTGTAACATTCAGGTAACATACGATGTTCAATCCACTGACTTAATTATGGAAAATAAAATTCTATATGGCCACACCGCACCCAATCTAAAAGCAGTTTTTATTTCCAATAAGGAAAGAGTAAATACTTACAATCTCAGAAATAAAGGTACTGATTTACTCTACTCGGCAAGAGGTGCCTCATGCACAATGGAATAATCTTCCCCACAAGACAAAAATTGCTGATTCCTTACGTTCTTTCACAACGATTTTGAAAAAAAATTGAGTTGAAACTGCCATGCAATTTGGCAATGTAAATAGTATTTTATAAATAGCTTATATTCACGCCTCTTATTGAAATCAGCTGGTTGTTACGGCCAGCATGAGAAAATAAAGTCTGTGTGTATGTATTATTTTAGTTCCACGACGTTTATTTTTTTTCAATCCATTTTAAAAGGAGTAAATAGACTACAATCTTGGCAAAAAGTTAATGAAACACCAATAAAAAATCAATAATATAGACAAAATCCCCTCCCCACTGTTGGCTGTAGAGTCTAAAAAATTGTGTCCAATAGTTTATCGATGGCAGAGAACACTATGTGTAGGTTTTTTACTCATCTTAATCAACATTGTAAGGGGGAAAGAATAGGTTAAATTGTTAATCATACTGGATGTTTCATTATTTTTTGCCAGGATTGTAGGCTACTTTAGCATCAATTGAAAAACCACGACCATTCAACATGATCACCGCCACCACAGTGTATACACCATGTATAGGTACTGTGTATATATACAATGTATAATGCCTCGATATATTATGGCCACCACAACCACTGCCACCACAGTATAAACTGTGTATTAAAGGTGTTTTTTGTTGTCAGATCGGATTGGATATTACTCAAATATTTTAACAAATTAAGATAGTTCTACAGGGGAGGAAGTGTCTGGAAGGCTTTGGAGCTGAGTAAGCCGAGTCGAAGTGGAGTAATACTCCATTATGCTGAGTGCCGACAATAAAGTATAAAAAGTGTTTTAAGTTATTTTGACGTATATTTGTGACAAAAGAAGCACTGGTGTCATGTGAATTCTTAAATCGTTACGTATGGGAATAGGAATGTTGTGATTCTTTTAGTTTGTTAAGGTTTATGTGTCATGAAGCACTGACAATGTGAGATTTGTTACTGATAAACTTCAAGATGCCTTAAAATGTAACCCAGCTCATGCATTGTTATATAACTACGTGACTAGTTTTTTTTTCTACGTTAATTCTAATAAAGTATAAACTGCTGTTAATGTGTAAATGCTAGTATAAGGCATAATTATGTGATATCGACCTGCAATTTTTATCAGATTCGTATCTGTTTATTTTTGCTGGAATTTTAGAAGTCTGGTGTTTCGCATCTACGCCAACCGGGGAGACGCTACTTTGTTTGAAGCAAATCACATTGAAATACCCAAATCTGTTTTCTCTTTCTGCACTAATACTTTATTTTGTAAATAGTCAACTATATAAATCAAGCAAAATTACAGCTATTACAACAACTCAGATATACTGATAATTGAAGGTTGCAGCAAGACTGACTTACAATTCGTGAGGCATAATCTGAGTATCCTTGCCTTTTCCTAAGTTATTATTTTTAAGTTTTTGTTCACTGTATTTAACATAACAAGTTCGCTTTTTTAGTTTCTTTCTTTCCAATTCCGCGAAGCTTCCTCGCCGTTTCACTTCCTCCGTCCCACTCCCCTCTCAACACCGGCGATCGCAATATCTTAACACTCTCCCCCAGTGCGGAAATTAAATCTCTAATTGAGCAACGTCTAACACAATATACTGAAAATACTTTAGGAATGCAAAGAATCCATTGTCACTACAATCATTCTGTTCTAGTTATACTAGTCTGCATCAAGTTCTTCTCTGGTGGCTATAAGACACAGCTTGTGGATGGGTCTGTCATATTCTTCTGTTTGCGTCTTCATTCTTACTTTTCTCACAAGGCCGTCGATTCCGGGACGAACTTCGGTGATAAGTGCCATCTTCCATTGGCATCTTTTATGTTTTGGATCAAGCTCCAGAACCAGGTCCCCTACTTGAACGTTGTCTCTTTTTCGGAACCACTTGTTGCGGGGTAATAGATTGGGTGCAAAATACTTCAACCAGCATTTCCAGAAATCGACAATTCTGTTTTGTGTGCATCGTAAAAGATCTCTTGGGTTGATTCTATCTTCCGGGGTTGGCTGAGGTGGTGAATTATGCTGCCCAAGAAGGATATCATTCGGTGTTACTGGTGGACTCTCCCAAACGCCATCCGAACTGGGATACAAAGGGCGACTATTGATCACGTAGCTGATTTCTGCGAGGAATGTTGACCACTGTTCTGCCATAAACGCTTGACTCTTGCAGGTAACATTGAAGGCTTGTCGGACGGACTTAATAAGAGACTCGACGACACCGTTCTGATGACTGGCATGAGGCACATTCCACAGCCATTTGAAATCGCACGAGAACTCCTCGGTCAGTACACTCTGGATTCTAGCGTTGTCCCAATTCTTCATTATTTCGTTCAGATAACCTTGTGAACCGACGAAATTAGTACCACAGTCTGACGGCGAAATGCCAACAAAAATGTCTTTGTGCTTTTATCGGTGACGAGTTCCAGGTGAACTGCTCTGGTCGTCATGCAGGTAAAGATTATCACTTGGGCTTCCTTGAGTGTCTTTCTGTTCATTCTGATCTGCACCGGTCCAAACATGTCCATTGCGGTATTGGAAAATGGTGGCAGTCCGGCCGCGACTCGAAGACTTGGGATTTGGCCCATCAGTTGGTCGAGGGGTTTCTTTCGCAATTTTCTACAGATGATACATCTTCTCGTAAGTTGTTTACACATACTACGTAGACCGATGATCCAGAACCTCTTTCTTGCCTCGTGCATTAAGCTCTTGTAACCGCAATGTCGCCGTTTGTCGTGGAGGTGCTGCAGAAGTAATTTGACCAGTGGGTGGTTGCGTGGTAAGATGATTGGATTTCTCATTTCCTCTGAGAGTGATCTGATCTCTTCCAGGCGTCCGTGTGCTCGTTGAAGGCCATCCTGGTCCGTCCTTGGAAGAAGTTTTTCTTCGAAGCGGGATAGGTCTAGGGAGTCTTGACACAACTTAAAAAGGTATTTTTCTGATATTTGTAGCTCCTGAGCGGTAATAGTCCCTTTTTTCATATTGATCTTTCTTGCATTTTGTGTGAATCGCAATATGTAAGCCAGTGTTCTCCGAACCTTTGAAAATGAAGAACAAGCCGCCATCAAGTGACAAAGAATGGGATTTTCTTTCTTCTCTTCAGTAGCTAAACAGACGTTGACTTCATTAACTTCCTTGTTACAATTGGATGAAAATGATGATTTCTTCTCTTTCATTGTTTCCTGGCATACTGAATTGGATAATCTGAGATCTTCGTGGAACTCTGGCCACTGGGCTTCGGGAAACTTCAGGAATGATGGACCTGCCAACCAATTTGCTAATTCGGCTGGTTCGATTCCCCGTGTGAGACCATCACCTGGATTGCTCTTCGATCTGACATAGCGGAAGTCCTCTGTGCCAATCGTTTCCTGAATTTCAGCAACTCGGCTCGATACGAAAGGCTTGAATTGACGTGGTGGAGTCCTGACCCATGATAATACAGTTGTTGAGTCGATCCAAAAGATTCTT